GCTTCCCATTACTATTTGCAATCCTTATTATTGCAAATTGGTGGAAAAGTTTCTATTGCTTGCTCTGTACCCTCTTGGTCTTGGGTCTTAGTCTCTTTACCATACTGTGGAACGAGGTGGGGGTTGGGGGGTGGATTAGCATTGTTAGTCATTTATATGCTGTGACACGCACATAAAAATGACATTTTTCAAGGTTTTGCACTGGGGATGGACGCTCATACATGGAAGAGGCTGTCTGAGCTGGGTTGTCACCAGATGCCCAGACCAGCAAGGCCTCCCCTGGGACAGAGAGTATTGGTATTTCCTTCCAGAGAGCTGAAAGGGATCTCAGGGGTTGACATTCCAGATGCTGGGAAAGTATCCCCCAAGTCATCCCCCCCTCACTTCAGCCCCCTGAGGAGCAGCTTGGCCAGCCCTGCTCCCAGCTCTTCACCAGCCTCCTGGGGAGCGGACATGTGGGCAGCTCACCATGTTCAGAGAGTAATTGCACGTTGAAACATGCTCATCATGTTTCAATTGCAGGGAGACCACACCAGGGACACCTACAGGGACCACGTAGAGCCACGGAGCAGACAGGAAACTTGCCCTGCCGCTAGGGCATGGCAGAGCTTGAGCAGCAGCCTGGGTCTGGCTAGCACATGCTCACTGTACTGTCCATAGTAGGCTCTTGGGCTTAGAGGCTTAGCGCCTGAGGGACTTGTCCAGAGGGCTGCTCATGGGAAAAATGTAAGCTTCACCAATTTTCTTCTTCCTCTATGGGGTAGGCCAGGTCTTGGCATCTTTCTCTGAGTGATGGTTCATGAGAAGGTGAGGTAGGTCCTCATCTTTCGTACTGAATGATCTGAGGGGCAGGGAGATGGTTGCTTTAGTCCAGAGGGCCTTAAGACAAAGCTCTGACCCCTATGTATGATGGCTCATGGGCCCTCCTGGCCCTATTAGGGTGGGTCCCCAGACCCCAAGACAAAAGCAGCCACCAGGGTGGAGCCCTGCCTTGGAGGGCATTATGGCAAAGCCAGAGTAGAAGCATCCTGCCTATCTCCTGCTAAGCTGGGGCATTGGGAGATGTGAAAGGGGTAAAGGTATTTGGAGTCAGCTGTGGGTGACTATGCATACTGGACTGCTTTCCCATGCTCATTCTTGTAAGCAATCTGTGGGCTCATCGCTGAGGCCATCTTTCTGTTTCTCCTTGGGAAATGGCTTTGGCCTCCCTGGACGGTGGCTTGTTTCTCTGGGCAGAGATGTGATAGATGGAGTTGGGCAATAAATCATGCTTCCCCCAGTCAACACATTACCACTGAAGCGTTAAACATGATAAAGTAGTCTCTGTGTTTTGACATAAGAGGATGACTACAATATTAAGTAGAAAAATGTGGTGGCATAGAATGTGGAGTTTGATCACATTTGAGTAAACTTACGTACAGTAGTATATGCAAAGAATAAACAGAGACACATTGACATATTATTATGTTAGCATGCATTTCCAAGAGGGAGAGGATTTTAGTTGTGTGTGTGTGTGTGTGTGTGTGTGTGTGTGTGTGTGTGTGTGATGCATGCATGCGTGCGCCAATCATGAGACTTGAACTCTGGGCCTGGGCACTGTCCCTGAGCTCCTTTTGCCCAAGGCTAGCGCTCTGTATCACTTGAGGCACAGCCCCACTTTGGGCTTTTTTCTGTGATTTAATTGGAGATAAGAGTTCCATGGACTTTACTGCCTAGGCTGGCTTTGAACCATGAGCCTCAGATCTCAGCCTCCTGAGCAGCTAGGATTACAGCCATGAGCCACCAGTGCCCCGCTTAGGATTTTAGTTCTGTATCCTCAGTGTTCACTGGCTACTCAGAACCCACATGCTTTTGGTTTTCCACTTTTGAATCTAATGCACCTCTGGTTGTATGCAGACATCCAGCAGTTCGCAGAACTGGAGTCAGTTGACAATTTCCATGTCCTTCCAAGGAGGTAGAGATGAATGATTAGATCCTCAGCATGGTGGCACCTGAAGCCACTGAACCATGAGGGGACTGGGAATCAGTGGCAGCAATGTGTGCTCTGCCCCTCCATGGCCCCTTCATAGCCCTCAGCCCTACCTTGCTCACACCCTCAAGCCTTGGACTGCTCTGATTGAAATTAGAAGCATGCCACTGATTTGTACACAGGAATGTTTGTCCATCAGCTGTTAAGCTGGTGGTGCCCAGTCCTAGAAAAGGAAGACTAGATTCACACCCAGTTTATCAAACAAGAGTATCCCTTGATGGAACAGTCCCTTAAGATGCAAACTGACAACATTCAGGCAACAATGGCTCATGTAATCCTAGCTGAGATGTGAGGATCATGGTTTGAGGTTAGCCCAAGCAGGAAAGTATGAGACTCCTATATCCAATTAATCACCAAAAAGCTAGAAGTGGAACTGTGGCTCAAGTGGTAGAGTAGCAGCATTGGGCAATAAAGCTGGGATGTGCCCAGGCCCTGAGTTCAAGCCTCTTCCTAGACCAGCATTAAAAAAAAAAAAAAAAGAAAATTAGTCTTGGGATAAGCTGGAGAAAGTTGAGACTTGATGATTTTAGACATATTCTGCCCTAACAGAGATGTAACATAACATAATTAACCTGTCTAGTTCTTTTTAGACATATTCTGCCCTAACAGAGATGTAACCTAACATAATTAACCTGTCTAGTTCTGAGGGAGTTCTCAGTTACAGAGTCTAGCCCTAATTCTGTTTGACTTTCCATTCAACATCTGCACGGCATGACTGAGCTGAGTCTGGGGTGCCATGACCAGGGTGACTGGGGCAGAGGGTCTGAGTTTGGTAGTAGGGATAAGAGCAGAACTGAAGACATATATGGTTCTTCAAGACAGCCTTGAGAGCTCAGAAGCCTGGCTTAAGTGGTAGAGCACCTGCCTAACAAGCACAAGGCTCCGAGTTCACACAGTAGTGTCTTTCCATGTATTTATTTATTTATTTTTCTTTTTTGCTGGTTCTGGGGCTTGAACTCTGGCTCTGGGTACTGTCCTTAGGCTCCTTTTGCTCAAGGCTAGTGCTCTACCACTTGAACTACAGCTCCTACTTGTGGTTTTTCTGTGCTTAATTGGATATAAGAGTCTCATGGACTTTCCTGCCCAGGCTGGCTTCGAACCATGATCCTCAGATCTCAGCCTCCTGAGTAGCTAGGATTACAGGCATGAGCCATTGTTGCCCGATTGTTGTCAGTATGCATCTTAAGGGACTGTTCCATCAAAGGATACTCTTGTTTGATAAAATGGGTGTGAATCTAGTCTTCCTTTTCTAGGACTGGGCACCACCAGCTTAACAGCTGATGGACAAACATTCCTGTGTGCAAATCAGTGGCATACTTCTAATTTCAATCAGAGCAGTCCAAGGCTTGAGGGTGTGAGCAAGGTAGGGCTGAGGGCTATGAAGGGGCCATGGAGGGGCAGAGCACACATTGCTGCCACTGATTCCCAGTCCCCTCATGGTTCAGTGGCTTCAGGTGCCACCATGCTGAGGATCTAATCATTCATCTCTACCTCCTTGGAAGGACATGGAAATTGTCAACTGACTCCAGTTCTGCGAACTGCTGGATGTCTGCATACAACCAGAGGTGCATTAGATTCAAAAGTGGAAAACCAAAAGCATGTGGGTTCTGAGTAGCTAGTGAACACTGAGGATATAAGAACTAAAATCCTAAGCGGGGCACTGGTGGCTCATGGCTGTAATCCTAGCTGCTCAGGAGGCTGAGATCTGAGGCTCATGGTTCAAAGCCAGCCCAGGCAAGAAAGTCCTTGAGACCCTTATCTCCAGTTAACCACCAGAAAACCAGAAGTGGTGGTATGGCTCAAATGGTAGAGTGCTTGCCTTGAGCTGAAGAGCTCAGGGACAGTGCCCAGGCCCAGAGTTCAAGCCCCAGGACCAACAAAAAAAGAAAGAAAGAAAAAAACACCCCACAAAGTTTGTCAGTTTAACATAGAGGGTGGGGGGAAAATGAAGACAGAGGAGATGACTTCAGGTATCCTGCTTCTTCTACATTTTAGGGCCTGGTCTCTGCTCTCCAAAAGTGGGGTCTGGGTCTGAGTGACCCCATCAGCCCCAGGCTCTTCAAGGATGCAAATGATGTTTCCTGTCTCAGGCTGAAAGTTCCTGGTGACAGGAAGCATTTCCTGCACTCACTGGGGCTCTGTACAAGGGCCACGCCACCAAGTGGGGAGAAATTTGATGGTGGTGCAGAAAGTGGAGGGAAGCAGGGTCTAGAGAGGCGAGTGACCAGAGGGCATTGAGCCCCTCCACGCCCATCTGGTCCTCAGGGGTCTTTGTCAGGATGGGTAGCGATTGTGGCCAGCGGCTGGGGCAGTGATGTACTTTTTAGATTCAAATCCTGGCTCCTACTCCCTTTGGTTCTGCTGGGAGGGGGAGAGGGGTTACCAGCTAACATCTCAGAGTTGTCATAGGTTAACCTATATAAAGGTTTAGGATGGGTTTTTTTTGGGGGGGGTCCAGTCATGGGTCCTGGGCGCTGTCCCTCAGCTCTTCAGCTCAAGGCTAGCGCTCTACCACTTGAGCCACAGCACCACTTCCGGCTTTTTTCTTTCTGCTTATATGGTGCTGAGGAATTGAACCCAGGGCCTCATGCATGCAAGGCAAGTGCTCTACCACCTTCCCAGCCCTGGTTTAGGATGTTTTGGGGTAGAGCGGGCCATGCTGTCTGTAGCTCTGGTCTGCTGGAAAGGAGCTATGTATGACCTGTCTGGGGGTGTAGCCCAGAGTTGGAGCGCTTGCTTAGCACGTGCATAATCCTGCAAAATTTCTGCACTGCCACCCCCAATAAAAAAAGGGAGGCGGGGATGCTAAGTATGGCAATTGGAGAAATAGTAGAAAGGAGGTCTCCCCCTAGGCTGATGGTGGGGGGAGGCTCTCCCCAGTTCTTATTTTCTAATAACCAACCCCCTGGCTGCCCCCTGAAGCTCATGTCTGCTCACCTCTGACCCTGGCTTCTCCGTTTCAGGTGGGACCTGGCCGACAAGATGCCCCGGGGGTGTGGATGACCTGATGTCTAGCTTCCCGAACAGCTCAGCCCGCATGCCGCCACCTCGCTAGGACCAGGACCCCTCCTGAAGGGGCTGCCTGGGGTCCTTCCCCGCACACACCACTCTCCAGACCCTGAGCCTGGGCCTCGCGCAGGGGAGGTGCAGGAGTGAGCTTCCCGCGCCCTCGGAGCAAGCAAGCCGTGGACGGTGGGTGCGGGGTAGGAAACATTCTCCCCAAGCACTTCAGCAAAATGACCAGCCTGTTCCGCCGGAGCAGCAGCGGTGGCGGGAGCGGTGGGAGCGGGGCCGCCGGGGCGCGGGGCCCCGGGACTGGGGCCGGGGCCAGAGGAGGCAGCACTGCCGCCCCGCAAGAGCTCAACAATAGCCGGCCAGCTCGCCAGGTGCGGCGTCTGGAGTTCAACCAGGCCATGGACGACTTCAAGACCATGTTCCCCAACATGGATTACGACATCATCGAGTGTGTCCTCCGTGCCAACAGCGGCGCCGTGGACGCCACTATCGACCAGCTGTTGCAGATGAACCTGGAGGCGGGGGCCGGCAGCCCCTACGAGGACAGCTCGGACTCCGAGGACAGCATCCCTCCCGAGGTAGGCAGGCTGGGGCTTCTAATTCACCAAAAGCGCAGCTTCCTCTGAGCTGGCTGGGTTCGGATAGAATGGTTCTGGCCAGCAAGCAACCTTCCTTCCTTATTTGGAAATAAGTGGTCAGGAAGCAGCAGAAGTCATGGTCAGTCATTCCATGAACACGCAGCACTTACTCGATGGTCAGGGTCATCAGAATCCAGGGATGTGTTAAATGTGCAGGTGCTTGGGCCCCACTCACATCACTAATTCCAGACCTGGAGTCGTGTGTGTGTGTGTGTGTGTGTGTGTGTGTGCAGTACTAGGGCTTGAACTGTTTGTTTTTTGTTTTTTAATCAAGGTTGGCACTCTACCTCTTGAGCCTTACCTTAATTTCTGGCTTTTTGTTATTTAATTGGAGATAAAAGGCTCATGGATTTTCCTGTCTGGGCTGGCTTCACACTGCAATCTTCAAATCTCAGCCTCCTGGGTAGCCCGGATTACAGGACATGAGTCGTCTTCACAGTGAAAAACCTAGACCCAGATATGGCCTTGGGGATGTTCAGCCAGCCCTGCAGGCAGTGTCTGTCCATCAGTCAGAGCCATCCTGCATGGCCAGCCTCTTCCTACCCCTGGGGAATTCTGTCTTCAGGGGAAGAGAAGCCCCGTGGGCAGTGGTGCCTGTCCCTGAGTCACCTGCATGGCCTGTAGCTCCCAGGCAGGTAGCAGGTGCTCAGGGAATGTCCGTTGGATGACTCAACGTTGCTGCTGTTTTTTGTACAGCTTTCTAGCACCTTTTTTCCTCCTTGGAACCCACTCCTTTGACCTGCTTGTTAATCAGCCAGCAGAGGAAGTATGAGAAAATCCTGACCCTCCTCATGGATAGATAAGGATCTGTGTGCTCCCATATCTATGCATGGTGCCCACAGCCCCCTGCTTCCCCATGGGGCTTCCCCAGCTCTGACTCACCTGCAGGGTACGCACCCGTTCCCCTAAGGTTCTTATACTCCTCCAGGTTGGGCCCCTTCTGAGCATCCCTCCCCCTAGGTCCTCCCCCAGCCCCCACCTTTTGGAGCCCTGCCTAGGCTCATCAGCAGGCAGCTCCTGAGCCAGCACAAAGTGCTGCAGAAAATTTATGAGCAGCAGCTGGAATGACAATAGCTGCTGACTGGAAAAAGCCCCTGCCCTGAGCCTGATGGATGGTGGGCTGGCCCAAGGGGTATCCTTGCCACAGAGAAATAACTCCTGTCAGATAAATGGCCCAGACCTTGCCCCCCTCAGAGCACCTGGCAGCCATCCATCACCCGCAATGAGGTAAGCTAGGAGACCATAGAGCCTCCAGCACCTTTAAAGCCAAACGAATCTGTTCCTTGTGGTTGGTGGGGAAAAGAGAGAGACTCAGAAGCTGCAAAGGCGGGAGCTGTCTTTTTTTTTTTCCTTTGTGCTAGTCCTTGGTGCTGTCCCTTAGCTTTTATGCTCAATGCTGTCATTGGACCTTGTGACCCACACCTTTACTTTCAGCTTTTTGCTGGTTCCTTGGAAATAAAAAGTCTCACAGAAGCCGGGCGCTGGTGGCTCACGCCTGTAATCCTAGCTACTCAGGAGGCTGAGATTTGAGGATCGAGGTTCAAAGCCAGCCCGGGCAGGAGAGACCTTGAGACTCCTATTCCAATAAACCACCAGAAAACTGGAAGTGGCGCTGTAGCTCAAGTGGTAGAGCGCTCGCCTTGAGCTGAAGAGCTGAGGGACAGCGCCCAGGCCCAGAGTTCAAGCCCCACAAC